CAGGTATAATATCTTATTTTCTGCTGATTGTAAATAAACTGAACTAATGCAATATTATTTTATAGTTAAAAGATCGTACCTGGATATGTTAGGTGGATTACCAGCACCATCAAAGCTTAGAGAACCTGAGGAATGATACAAATGACAGAAAACTAATGCTGTTGATGCTATTTGTCTTAATCACTACCCCTTAATAGCTTTTAGTTCCGTACCTGTTAGCTTGCTTTGTTCGGTTTTTAGAAAATTTAAGGATTTATGTGATGAACTTTCAGAAAGCGAAGATAATCTTTTTGCTTATGAGTTTTGTTTTGAAATGGCAAAACATTATAATTACGAATCAGAGCATCAAACTAAAGCAAATAAAATGCTATCTGAATATCTCAAATGCTCTGTACAACCAATTGTGACTAAAGGTCATTGTCACACTAATGGTACTGTATGTTATGGTGATGGCCCTAACGTATATTGTGAGGTTAATGTGAAATACAAGAGGCATAACTGTAGCTCCGATGCCTGTCCCTATCTTGAAAATTGTGGACATTATTTAATTTTTTGCATGGAAAAAAAAGAACATTCCTCCTACCATGAGACTAATTTTCCATGCTTTTTGATTGTAATTTCTGGTATAGTAATAAATTTAGTTGATATGTCTTTGTCGAATTTGTGACTAACTTTACTTTTTTAGGACTTTAATTTTTTGTTTCCGGTACTGTGTTTGCAGATGTTGCTATAGTTGACCTGCTCACCCTAGTCTTTCCTCTTATTTGGCAAAAATATAACGAAGCGATGATGGTATCAATTGCCAAAATATTTCGTGTTTTGAAGATATCTCTCTGACTTTTCAATCAATATTATGCTAATGTTGATGAATTAATTCAAGATGAACCTCAAACTATCTATCCTGTGCATCCTTTATTTCCAGAAGTGATTATAGATGATAAATCTTACATGGTTCATATTAATTCCCAAGTTAGTACAAATCTTCTTTGGGAAGTTACACTTTTAAATGAGCAAAGGCCTCATCTTACAGTCTACGTGAGAGCTGTTCAAAAATATCAATATTTACTTGATACACATAAGCTCTTAGATGAAGTTGAATATGCTCCAAAAGTCTTTACTACTTCAGTAATTCCTGGAAACTGGATTTTGGTTTATATGGAAAGTTTGAACAATCATTCAATACTACATAATATTACCTCTAACCTTGATAATCAAAAACAGAGTTCTCTGAGAAAAAAAATAAAAGAGGTAGTTAAATATTTGAATAATTCAGGATACGTTCATGAAGACTTGTGTGAAGAGAATATTCTAGTTCATCAACTTGAAGATAACGAATTTAACGTTAAATTGATTGATTTTGAATAGTCTGGAAAAGTTGATTCTGCGTGTTATTCTCTCTTTATGAATCATAAAACTATTCAATGACCGGATGGTGCAGAAGATTGGAAACTAGTTACAAAAAACCACGATCTTTTAACTATAAAATAATATTGCATTAGTTCAGTTTATTTACAATCAGCAGAAAATAAGATATTATACCTG